CCATCTATCCCAGAAGAACACCCCAGTCCTTCTTGCTCCTGTAGTGAAGAAGGCTGGGAATGAGACACAGCCACTTGTGTCTCTGCTGTCCCTGCAGGGAGTCCATCATTGAGTGTCCATGTCCATCTTCTGCCTTACCTGTTATTATCAGCAAATGCTTTGAGACTTGCTTGTACAGTCTCTTGTACACAGTGGGGGTCCCCATCGATCACTTCATCTCTTACCACTGCTCTTAGCAGACCCCTGGGGCTGTGTCATTTCCTCTTGCCTGTGTTCTGAGAAGAGCAGGAGGGACAATTTCAGAGGTACAGATGGGAGGAGGGATGTTTCATTCTAGACATCCTCATAGCAGAATTTCCCCTTCGAACTGATGCCTGCAGCAGCCTTAGCCCGTGGGGACCTCCAGGCCCCTTTTGGGAGTTTCACCCTATCCCCTTTTATCTCCACTCCTTCCTGTCCCAATTTGCTATTTGTTTAAGGTACTGCAAACTTCCCTTGATAAGTTTACCTAATTGCTTCACTTAATTACTTCTTGGCTGAACAAGAAAGCAACATAATTGATGTCAAAGCATATTTGTCACTTCCACTAATGTCCTTGTCCATGGGAGAGGGAGAACTTGGGTCTCTACCACCACAGCACCCTTCCTTGACCAGGCGGCCAGCAGCACCCCGCTCCTCATAGCTCCCAAAGGCTGTAGGAGAGTGGAGGTGGGTGCTGCACCTCAGGCAGCCCTGCCATACCTGTGTGCCCCCATGGGCAGGTTACAGCATGCTGGCAATGCTGCCTCCTGCCCCCAGTTCCTGCCAGATGCTGGGAACAGGCAGCAGTTTTGAGGCAGTCTTGGTAAATCCCATTATCCAGCACTGCCTGTCTGATGCATAGGCAGGGCAGGTGAGGGCAGGGAGGCTGCCCAGAGCACAGGTACTGAGCCCCATTCCAGGCAGCAAACACCTCTGGCATTAACCTATTGTGGGTAAAGGGATGATCCTCATGGATCCAGCCTGCCTGACACGGGGAGCAGAATCATGGGGACACCCTTGGCCAGAGCCAGAGCAGACCCCACACAAGGCTAAATCCAGTCCCTACTCTGGTTGCATGCAGGCTGCATTTGGGCCCGGATACTGCCTCAAGTGACTTCCCTGAGTCCTGGCTGTTCACTGGGAGTTAGGAGAGCTGTCAGGATGCTCAGCTGAGGTCTTTGCTGCTAAATGAGGCCAGCAGTGATTGTCAGGGAGTTTACGTCTGATTCTTTCTTTTGGAGGGTTCTTATTTTTGTTCCCTTTGCATGTGAAAGGATTTGAGGCAGTAGGTTAGCTCATAAAAAGGTTTCCCTGGGAGCAGCTGCCTGCCGAACTTGAGGTGAATGCCCTGGAGAAAACGCCTCCCAATACAGTGAAATCTTCCTCCCGTGACCTGCACTGGGAGGTGAACTTTTGTGCGAAAGAAAGATAATCCCTTTCGCTCGCTGGGACTGAAGGCGCTGTGATAAAAGCTTTATTCAAGATCAAAGACATATGCTTTTTTTTTTTTTTTTTTTTAACTACTACCTCAAACAAAAAGTTTGGTTTATGCTGGATTGAAGCTCAGAGTGGTGACAGCTCCAGAGTTCCAGAGCTCATCTTGCTGGCTGGTCAGTGCCAGTGGGGATCAGGACAGTGTGGGGATGGAGGGCACCGGGACCATTATCCCAGCACAAAGAGGGTTTAGGGGCTCAGCTCCATTTCCCAGCGCACAAAACCACTCAAGGTTCAGGTTCCCTTTCAGTCGGAGGGATTATCAGCCAGCTGGAGCAGTTGGGGGGGGTGGGGGGAAGCCTGGGGAATGGTTTGTGTTTGATCTTGCTCAGCAGTTTCATCTGTGCAAGTGTCCAGCGGGAGCTGTGCTCAGGGGTCCAGGAAACCTTCTGTGCTGGAGGTGACATAAAGGGCTGGGGCTGTTCCAGGGTGAGCTGGGTAATGGGGGATGTTGTGCTGGTTTGCACTTCAAAAGTCAGAAGATGGGCTTCCAAAACTCTGGGCTCAGCTACAAATTGCAAGGTTGTTTCTTCATTATCAGAGCCCCAGTGCTGGGACCATTTTTGTTGCTTTCTGCCCAGGTGCAGATATTTCCCTGCAGCCAGGCTGGTACCCAGTAAAAGTCCACTCGAAATGTCTCTTCTCAGGGTGCTCAGTGTCTTGTGTCAATATGTGTGTTGTCATGACTTTCCATTCTCTGGGATACCCTGCAAGTGAATATAACCTGTGTGGTTGGGTGTATCACAGGACACCCAACTGCAGGCCTTCCCATGTCATGGGACACCCCAACACACACATTCTATGTCCCCAGACACCCTTTGGTCTAATACACCCCATGCCCCATCCTGCAGAACAGAAGAGCAGATACAGCATGAGAAGCTTGATTATCAGGAACAGGTTTCAGTCAGTGAAATAAGTCCCACATAACCCCACTTTCACCCCAGCACTGATTTTCACATCACAGCCGTGCAAAATGACAGAGGTTCTCTCACTTCCACTGCTATATCCTCTCCGTGTTTAGCCCTTTGTAAAATGAAGGATCACAGGCTGAACTGTGTGCTCAGGATAACTCCTCTGAAGCTAATGGACTTATTATGGTCCCTCATTTCAGACCTAAGCTCAGCAAACCTGGTCTCAGGGGGAAAAAATCTCTCCAGGGATGAAATTCATTCTGTTGTGTGCAACACGTTTTGCATGGACGTGAAGTTCCCTCTGTGTGTCTTCCACAGAGCTTGGTCCCCTTGCTGTCCCCAGGCACTGCTGGGCATGCAGCCCACAGCCTGGATCCAGCTCTGCTGCACCTGAAGCAAAGTCTGTGTCCCAACTGTGCTAAGCCAGGGACATCAGATGATGTTTTCCAGCTTGTTCTGGTCAAAACCTAGCAATCTATAGGCCAGGGCATTGGAAAATACCTACTTGCCCTATGCTGTTCGTATTTGGAGAATTTGTGCTCCAGCATCCTCCAGCTGGCTTAGGCACAACTGTCTCACCAGATCATCATTAGACTGGGAGAAGAACCTCCCTGATAGGACCAAGGAGCCAGGAAGGGTGGACCAGCAGCTGTATTGCTGATAGGATGCCACCACCTGCAGCTTTGAAGCCTCTATACCTTATGCTCCTCCTGCACAACCTTCCCCTGCACCCACATGCAGATGCCAGCTTGGATGTGTGAACATGGCTACTGAGATTGAAATGAGAAAGCAGGAAGCCCAGGGGGCTGGATGAGTTTGGGTTCTCATGGCTCTGGCAGAGAGAAGGGGTTACTCACAAAGATTTGAGAAAGGGGCATGTTTTCCCTGTGGAGCTGATTGAGACTGTGGCCATATCATAGGCTGCTGCCAACAAATATGTTTTGAGAAGCTGAGATAGAGATTGCTCCTGATTCCTGCTGGGAATCCTCAGAACAGAGTGGAAAATCGCTACAACATCCTACATCCCTCCAGAGACAGGAGTGTCATGGACACCCAGTCCCACTTTAAGGGTTGCAGGGCTCTACCTTGCAGTCTTGAGGTCTGTCTTTAATTAAAGGAGAGCAGCTGAGTTGGGATAGTTCCCAAATCTTGATGAGGACTTCCCTTCTCTGGAAAGAAGATGCAGGAAGTTTTTGATGTGGGGAAGGGCTGTCCCTGAGGCCTTGGCCAACACGGAATTCTTCTGCTGTGACTGTGGGGTGGAGCAATGTCCCACTCCATTCTTGTGGCTGCCAAGGACGTGGACACAAGCCACACAGAGCTGTCTGACAGAAGTCAGGGAACAGGTGGATAAAGGAGAGGGGCACAACCCAAACCTTCTCATAGGAAAGCTGTCCTTTTCTTTAGAGTCAAAGCTGTACTGTCAAAGGGGTCGTTCTGGACATGGGGGACTAGCAGCACAGTGGCTGATGGAAGTGCAGTCTCACTGGGTAATCCAAGAACTCTAATGATCTGCCTTTGATCTCCTATTCAACAGGGAGATTTATTACAGCTTTCATTTCAAGTCAGAACTGATGAATTTCAGTGGACCTGTTGAATCTGGAGGCATTTATCTTTCAGGAGGAAGAAACCATCTCCTCTCTTTGTCTCTTAAAATGACTGGGGGAGACACGGTACCCAGCCAGTGAGTGTCAAATGATGCCCGCTTTATGACAGCAAAGTTTGCCTTGCTCAGGGCAGGCTCTCTGCTCCAGCTGTGGCCCAGCAGTTGTTTCAGGGGCTTTTCTGCTCTGGCACAAAGTTAATCTGCTAATTACATGTTGCTCTCCCTCTTTTCTGCTTTTGCAGACAGCCCAGAGGGACTGAGATCCAGCATCACTGGCTCCCAGGGCTATTTCCCTGCAGCTGAGGATCCTCTGGATCTGGAAGATGCCTCTGCTTCTCCAGCAGAATGTGACCTTGAAACCTGGCGTCCAAAACTGTCTTTTATGTTTTAGATTGTGCAAAGGACCTCAGTTTCATTTAAACTATTTTCTGCAGTTTAATCAGAATCTACACATTTTGCTTCTGGGTGCTCATAGGTCCTGGGCAGAGCCCATTCCAAGCTTTTCATGTAGGTGCAGTCTACCTGTCTCATCTAACCCTATTTTCTCTCAGCACCCCCCTGCTAATGCAGGTCTGAAGCTGCAGGGAAATCTTTGCTGAGTAATACCAAATTTATCATTTCTAAGAGCCACAGAAGGGCTCTTAGGCACTATTTGCAGTCTCTTCTCAGGCTTCTCCTTGTCAGGCTGCTCCTGGGCAGCTCTTGATGGTGTTGCTGCTGGTCTCTCTCCATGTCATGTGGCTGCAATGGCAGGAGTGTGTTTCTGATACATGTTGGCACTGCTTTGGGATTTGCACTGAGAGATGCAGTCCAACTGCATCTGCAGCTATTTCTCCCAGTCTCCAGAACTATTACTTTGGTTCACCCTCTACCTCATCCTGTCCCCATCTCTCCCTTTGAGGAAGAGGCTTTCCCCTGGTCAGAGGCTGCACCTTCTTGATGCTCTGTCTCAGTGCAGCAATGAGTGTCCCAGGGGCACCGCACAGGTGAACACATCATCCATGCAGCTCCCGTGTCAGCTACTCTTCCAACCCCAGAACCATCACTCAGGGGCATCATGGCAGAGTTATGGCATACACGGAATGCTGATGCTGCAGCACATTGCTGTCAGAATGGCAAGAGGACTTATTGAAACATAGAGATCTGTTGGTTATTACTGTGTGCTGACCCACTTACAAGGACTTGGGCTACTCTGTTATCAGAGACCTGTGGAGAGTGGGACAGGAGAGTTTGTCATTCAGTTAACAGGTGATGCTGCACACTCAAACCCCAGAACACAGACATCATTACCAGAACTCTGTTAAAACTAACTTTATTTTTTCAGTGAGCTGTGGATTTTGACAGGATTGCTTATTGGAGAGATGCAAGGCTAGGTGTGCGAAGGTAGTGTCTTTCCCCATGCTGTTTGCATTACATAATTGAGTACTTAATTACATTGAGTCTGCTTAGTAAGGTCTAAATTCTTCAACAGAAATACTGATATAGTGCATGATTGGTAAAACTTGCCATGTGGGATGAATACTGCCTTTTCAGGAATTTTGATTTAAAAGCCTGATTGAACTGAATTAATACCAATCCTTTGCTAAGTTATAATGATGTTAGCTGTTACCACAACAATTAGAAATTTGTATATCTGGAAAAATATTTGCAAGTCATTACCCTCAGAGCCACATTTATCACTATATGGCTAATGTTTTAGTTTGTGGACAGGAAGATTAATATTTGTAAGATATGGTGGCTCCTTAGAAAATTCAGTAGATTCCTCCTTGGATATATTTCAGGTGGATATTATTGGAACACAATGTTAAGCCACAGCAATTAATGCCACTCATAAATCAGGCATTTCTTTGCTTGTGTGAAGGCAAACCCTGAGTGTTATCTGCAGAAGCTATTAAAGAATTAGATATAATTAGCTCACGACTGTCCACTGTAAAGGTAAGCAAAATTGTGCTGGCTTCACCTGTTTGCTTGCTTTTTGCCTCACAGCTTTGATAAAACAATTTTTTGGTGAATCATTTGTCCTGAAGATACATGTGACAGCATTTCGGTTAGGTACAGCTATTTAGTGATTCAAACATAGCTATTCTTCCTTGCCACTTATAAATTGAAATTTGACTTGATATTAAAACAGTCTAAATTGATGGACCAGAACTGCAGTAAACAATAGCACTCCCCTTTAGAATCATCTGAAACCATGACTTTGTAGCAGTTTAGGTTCACAGGTCACTCTTACACACCCACTGACCTAAGTGAGTTACATGTACAAAATTCATGGCAGTATTATATAGGTCCTTGATGTTTTATCCATAAATATTTATATCTCATTACCTTTAATAGTCCAAGCTCAAATTTATTGTACCGACAATCTTGAAAAGGTGTCTTACGATCTCTGAACTGAACAGGTTTGAAGTACAATTTGGCAAGATATGCACTGTTATTTTTCTGAGCAAAGCTGCACTTGAATAAACCCTGGCAAACTTACACCAGAAAAGTCTTGACTATGAACAGGTATTTTCAATAATATTTGCACTTACCATGAACTATTATCTAAACTAAATTATATAAAATCACAACGCATTTGTCACACCTTTATAATCTCTCCAGTAAATCCATGTTGCTGCTATTTCAGTTACAAATTAGTTGTTTGCCTGCATATTGTTAATTGATGCTTAACTGTTGTATGACAAATTTTCAACATCTTTTTTGTAATGATGGAGTCAAAATCAGTTTTGTATCTGAAACTTCTAAAGGAACACTCTCAACTCTGACTTTAGTTTTGTTAATTTCCAGTTCTGTTATGTTTCAGTGATGTTAAGGTTAATTTCTGTGAAGTATTATGAAATTTAAGTGATGTTAAGTTTAAGTTCTTTTAAATTTAAGTGATGTTAGGTTTACATTCTGTTAATTTGAAGTTCTGTTACATTTAAGTTCTGCCAAGTTTAGGTTCTGTTAAGGTTAAGTTCTGTTAAGTTTAATTTATGTCAAGTTTAAGTATTGTAAAGTTTAAATGAAGTGTTGTTCAATTTAAATCTGTTATTTTAGGCTCTGTTAAGTTTAAATTCTATTAAGATTAATTTCTGTTCAGTTTAAGTAATTTTAATTTTAAGTTTTGATAGGTATACTTTTCGTTATGTTTGGGTGACGTTAAGTTTAAGATCTGTTGAAATATGCTCATTAAATGACAAGGTACAGTTTTCGTTATAGAGATAATATGGAACTGACTGAAACAATTATGATGAAGAATTTGGTAAACAACTGTTTGAGAATATAAGAGACTAAGTTGTGTAAAAATAGTGAGGATGCAGTTTATTAGATCTTCAATTTCATAGAAAATTATATGGATATAAACATTCTACACTGATCAATTAACATAATTATTCATAACAATCTTTGCTGTTTTATCTTCCATAGGTAATACAGAGGAATAAGTAACAATTCCAAATTATGGCTGTTACTAATTGTAAGCTTTCTTTCTTGCTTTTGTTTTGCTTTATTGTTATATATTCATAGATGTGTGGAAAAGCATAATCTCAACTTCTTAGGATGGTTACTGTTGATGTATTAACGATTCTGAATATGTTGTTGATGTCACAGTGTGAATTCACTGACTTTTCATAGTAGGCATTATCCATGGGATATTATTTGAGGTTGACACATATGCATTGCTTTGGTTGTTTGGAGTTTGTTTGTGGTACCGTTGACTACTTAGCTAAGGATGAATGACAAAGCCAGCTGCTTTACAAACTTTCCCATACTGTTGGTAGCTATCTGCAAGGCATGTACAATTTTAAGGAACTTTTCCAACTGCTATTACTAGAGGCTTGTTCATAGACCATGTTAGGGAGAGGCCTTCTAGTTGAGGCCTTCACTCTGGCCAAGTCCCAGCCCTAGCTGGTTGGAAGTATGCCAACAGTCCTAGGTGTTTTCTGCACTAAAACTGTACTCAGGTCACTTTGACTTGCCAATTTGGGCTTATAAAAGCTGGACCCCCTTTTGAGGTAAACCTAGAAACCTTTCCTGGGAATGGTTCTCTGGGTCCTCATTGTGAAACAGGGCTTGCCAGCAGACTCTAGGTGATGGTACAGTATTTAGGCAATTGATGATGTATCATTCTAAATCACGATCCTTTTTATTGTGGGCTAATTATTACATGTATACCTTGCTTATTTTTGCTTGGTGTGAGTTTATTGTCTTATCACATGTATTGCTTTACTTTTATGTTGCCTTTTTTTTCATAGTGAGAGATGCACATTTTGTCGCAAAAACAAAGAAGGGGGAATATGGCTCCTCAAGAACATTTAGATAATGCAATACTTGCACAAGAATTTCTGAACACAGAGCATTAATTTTGATCCCTGGCAGAGCGATACTGCTCTGAAGATTTGCATACGCAGAACCTGTGGAGACCAGAAATCTGGCCAAGGAAAAGCTTGCTGCACTCCCCTGGAGGACTGACCCCTAAGCTACAACCCTTGTAGTTATGGTGAGCAAAAGGAACATCCCCAGAATTCTTTGGGTTTTTATGTTGGCCCTTCCCCCTTGCTCCATCCCTATGCCCTCATCCCATTGGCCCTGGTGTTCTGTCCCGCCCTTTGAGATCCCTATATAAACCCCTGCTTTCCCTGCCTGAGTGGCTCTTTTGTGCCTGGATCCCTTTGAGGAAGAGGCTCAATAAAGGCTGTCCTTGGAATGCCACACGATGACCCCATCTCTCCTGCATTGCCCAGATCACAGAAGAGCTGAAATCACCTGGTGTGAGCAAAGATGTGCCTGTGCCCCTGAGGTGTCTTTTTCAAGGCTCTTCTTCAGGAAGGTCTCAGCACTCTGAACACCACCCGCCACAACAGAACCAATTTCTAAAAGTTTTACATAAAGATCCACAATTGGGTGTGCAATGGCAAGGCCTAGCTGATTTACTAAGTCAGCGGAGAAGGTAGGCATGTGTTTTTATTGCCAACAGGTCTAAAGTGGCTACCTGCTTGTCTGGACAAACATCGATCGCCTCTGAGGAGATGAGGCCCAGTGAGAGGAGAAATGACCTAATCGCAATCCAGCCCTCGTGGCCAACGCAGGAGCAGGGGTAGGACTGCCAGAACATGGCTGTGTCTGGAAGCTTATGAAGGCAGCCTGCCAACACAGGTCTTGCGTCCCACTGCACCCACCATCATGTTATTGTGTTCCTGCTGACCCTCTTCAGTTATTCCCTGTTCAATGCTTCCAGAAAGACATTCAGTAATGTCAAAGACAGCATTTCTAGCTAATGGACTTCCTCCTACCTAGACAGCATGGCCCCTGAGCTCCAGTTGTATGAACAGTAGCCATTTATTTCCACTTCATGGGGACATTGGACACCATCTTTTTGTTTCCCTGTGCTGTGGGTCTCTTTGTCAGTGGCATGGTTGTACTTGATGAGTTTTTTTATTGATTTTGATCTGTATTCCATGTATCTTATCCTGTGTCCAGCAGATGACCAGTAATTGTCTTAATAAGATAATGGCCTTAGAGATGCAGACTGTTTTGGCATTAGGGTACATGAACCCTTCACACAAAAAACAAAGGGGGAGATGTTTGGTACAGGTAAAACTTTACAAAATAAGGCCCTTGTGTCTTAGGATGACATTATGATGCTTGTATCCTCAATCGTGTGTTCTGTTTATGCTTGATGTTATGTTCTGTGCCTTCAGGACTGGCTCCGAAAAGTGAAGGTTTATTTTGTCTTATCAGCCGGCTCACCTCCCCCCACAGTCTGTGTGTAGGAGAGAGGATAGGACTTGCTTGCTTGCTTGCTTTCTCTTTGCTCTCACTCCTCCTTCTTGCTTTTGCCCTTGCTTTTGCTTTTGCTTGTTAATTAGTTTGGCTAGGCAGTCCAGTTTCTTTCCCTGGGCTCTTTTTTCTTTCTCTTTCCTGAATACCATTCCAAACTGCTCTGGACTGGACCTGGGAAACACCAAGAAACACTGAGAGCCTGCATTTTGTGACCTGCAGCAGACATCTGCAGCACCGGAGACCAAGAACTGAGCGACCACTCCCAGGAGAGACTTTCTGAATTTGTCATCTCTTCAGAGCGGTGAAAGAGTTTTTGTCATCTGGTGTTGTTCATTTTTTGGGCTGGGGAGTTCTTTGCCTGTTAAATAAACAGTTTTTTTTCCACTTCGCTCTGAGGAAATTTCTCCCAAACCAGGTGGGGGAGGGGCCGTGGGGTTTTGCTTTCTGGGGACTCCTTCCAGAGGTTTTCTTCCAAACTTGCCCTAAACCAGGACATCTTGTTACCCTTGTAAAAACATGGCTCAGGCCTGATACTTTGGCTAAGTAGAAAAGGGCTATGGGAAAGTGACTCAGCTGAATTAGAGGTAGAAAAACAAGTTATATAACCATCACATGGTCACATTGTGGTTTATGGTGGTTGGTTGAATTACATTTGTTGTGCTTAAATGGAATCTAACAGATAAAGGCCTCACTGCTTAAAAAGGCCTGGTTTTGCAATAAAGGGTTCTCTCTTGCACCTGCCTGGGGAAGGAACATCACTCTGCTTTGTAACAATGGACCTGTTAAACTCAGGGACAGGCAGATCCTGTGTCACTGGGAACAGGCAGGGAACACCTTGAGGAACAAGTCTTCAAAGTCCTTCTTGTGTTACTTTTCTGTCTCTTTTTCCTGGCCACAGATCCATCAGAACCTTTCCTCTCCAGAAAAAGCCATGGGAAAGAAAGAAGTTGAGAATCATGGACCAAATCCAACCAGTGCTCAGGAATGCAGGTCCACTGCTGGACTCTGAGTGTTTTATAAATTCTTCCCAAGCTCTGCTCCCCATAATCAGATTATGAAACCTTTGACTCAAATTAATGCAAACATACAGATCATGCGGAGAGCCATAAAAATAAAGTATAATAATAAAAACCCTAAATCAAGAGCATCTTCTATAAACAGAGCAGTGGAAATACAGTAATTTGTCTCTCTGTGATGATATTTGGGGAGGTATGAAATAGCCCCAAGATATGGCAAGAAAACACAGCTGTTCTCTCCTTGCAGGAGGTGAGGAAGGAGAGGAGGGATGGGAATGCAGCACTGCTCCAATGGCTCCAGGGTCTACTGCACTTCTGGAATGGGAAGAGGGATCCTCCAGAATGGGTCAGATTGGAGGGAATACAGTGGGTCACGGGTGCCACCTCCCTGCTTCAGCAGGGCCATTCTAGAGCACAGGGCACAGGATTATGTCCACAAAGCTCTGGAGTATCCCCAGGGAGGAGACTCCACAGCCTCTCTGGTCTCTACTCAGGGTTGGGCACTGCACAGAGAAGAAGTTCTGTCTCCTGTGCAGGGGGAATTCCTGGGCTCAGGCCCTGCCCATGGCTCTGGTGCCACCGCTGTGCCTGGAGCAGAGCTTGGGCCCTGCTCTGTCCTCCTGCACACAGGGACAGCCAGGCCTGAGGGCCCTTCTCAGCTGTGTCTCAACTCAAGGCTGAGCAGCCCCAGCTCCCTCAGCCTCTCCTCATCAGGGAGGTGCTCCAAGACCTTATTCAGCTCCACAGCCTCTGCTGACTCTGCTCCAGGAGCTCCTTGTCCCTGCTGTGCTAAGGAGCCCAAGAGCTGGACACAGCACTCCAGAGGTACCTCCCAGGACTGGGCAGAGAGGCAGGAGCACTGCCTGACCTGTTGGGAATGCTCTTCCTGATGGTCCCCAGGATCCCATTGACTCTTTGTACCCAGGTCATTCTGCTGGGCAGGGACACCTTGTTGTCCCCGAGTCCTCCACAGAACTGCTCCAGCAGGTCCACCCCAGCCTGTGGTAGTTGTTTCTCCCCAGGTGCAGGACCTGCATTTCCCTGTTCTCTACTTCTAGACAGTTTTTCTCTGCCCATCAAACTGTTGAGGTCCTTAGTTCCCAATGTTTTCCTTCCATTTTGCTCTGGCTCATTCCTCTCTCTACAATCCAATACCGAGTGCTTAAGCCAGCACTAGGCCCTGATTCCCAGCTCTATGGAGTCAGCACCTCTTCCTGGTGCCAGAGAATTGTTTGCATTGTTTGCAGATTTGGATGAATGTCTAAGTGACTTCTATGTGGAAAAACGGATTTTGGTGATTACTGGATTTCCAGGCAGGGAATCTTCCGGAGATAAGAGGATAAAATGCTGCCAAACATCCTGGGAAGGCTTGTTCTGCACACAGAATACAAAAGCTCAACATTTGTAAGGACTATGAACAGCATTTCCACAGAAGGATATGAGGTGGTGGCAACTGGAACCTTCTCTCTGGAAAAGGATGGAAGAGAATGATACCTGGAAGACGATGTCAGTCCAGGGAATCTCCTGCATTTCTCACTGCTCATCCCCAGTTAAAAATTGCCATTTAGAGCAGAGGGAAACATTAATTTCCATCCTGAATGGACTTTCAAATCCAGGATTTTGACAACTGAACCTTCAAAAACCTGGGATTGGGTCAATTCACTCAGAGCCTCTCCCTGAGCAGAATTCCTGCTATAAAAATGTTCACTTTTCCTGGTCTGTTATTACTATTCCTGCTCTTTAACTTCTCTGGAAAAGCAGTTTTCCACCTAGGAAGGTGTCTTAGGTTAAAAGATGTAGCAGCGGGTGTGTATTCTATCACCATCTGTTAGAGGTGGGGCAGTTATCTTCTGTTCATTGGGCAGTTTTCTTTATCTCTTCTACAACCAATTATCCCTCCAGGACATATCTTCTCTCAATGGGCCATTGAATGTCACTGCATGGCTGATAAAAGGACTTCATTCCATTGGGCGAAGCTTCGCCCAGGGGCAGGAGCCAAGCATTCCTACCTGGATACAATCTGAGATTTTTGGAACACCACAGCAGCCTTTTCCTCTGGATTCCCAGAGGAGCAGCTTTCTTCTCCACTGGATTCCCAGTGGAAGACTGGGCCCATCTCCACCAGCCCTGGAGCTCCAGAGGAAAACTCCCCCCTTGTGCAGGATCCTGCTCCAGCAGAAGCACAGCTGGCACTGCAGGAGGGCTGAGCCACCATGGGATGGGGCTGCTGCCACCACCCTGACCCACAGGGTGTTAGGTCGTATTTCTGACTCTGTCTGTGATGATTTGGTTGGAAATTATTTTGGAAATGAATGATTTGGGAAAGGAAGTTTCAGGTGGGGAGGATTTGGGAAAGGAAGGTTAGGGAATGGAATGTTTGGAAAGGGATGATTTGGGTGGGGTTGATATCAGTGGGGGAGATTTGGGAAGGGATTTTTTGGGCAGGGAGGATTTGGGAAAGGGATGATCTGGGTGGGAATGATTTGGGAAGGGAACTTTTGGGTTGGGGAGGATTTGGGACTGGACTTTTTGGGTACAGAGGGTTTGGCAAAGGGATGATTTGGGTGGGAATGACTTTGAAAGGGAAGGTTAGCAAATAAAATGTTTGGAAAGGGATGATTTGGGTGGGGATTATTTGGGAAGGCAATGTCTAGGTATGGGAGGTTTGGGATAGGGATGATTTTGGTGGAAATTATTTGGGAAGGGAAGTTTTTGGTAGGGAGAACTATGGAATGGAAGGTTAGAAAATTGAATTTTTGGAAAGGGATGATTTGGGTGGGGATGATATGGATGGGGAAGGTTTGGGAAGGGAAGTTTTGGGTGGGGAGGATTTGGGAAAGGAACATTTGGAATAGAATATTTCGGTAGGGAGGGTGTGGGCAGGGAGGATTTGGGAATGGAAGGTTTGGGAAGGGATGATCTGAGTGGGGATCATAGGGGTGGGGATGTTTGGGAAGGGCCCTGTGCAAGCCAATGCTGTCCTCCAACACATGTGTGGCAGGGTGTGACCTGGTCCCAGGGCCTGATCCCCACATCCACAGGTCGCCTGCTGCTCCACGCAGCATGGCTGTGATGAGTTCGTGGGTGGCTGTCCCAGATTGAAAGGCAAGATATATTCTATTTGCCATCTGTATGGCAGTTGTCTTCCGTTAAGTGGGCAGTTTTCCTTATCTCTTCCACAGTCAATTCTCCCTCTGGGGAGACATCTGCTCATAATGGGCTATTGAATTTCACTGAGTGACTGATAAGAACTATAACATCCCATTGTGAGATGCTCTGCCCAGAGGGAGGAGCCAAGCATTCCTAACTGGATATAATCTGGGTTTTAGGGACATCAGAGGCAACCTTTCCACAGGTTCCCAAGAGGAACAGCTGGGGTTTTCCACTGGGCCTTCAGAGGAAGACTACACCCTTCTACAGGACCACTGCTCCAACAGAACCACATCTACCACTCCAGGAGGACTGCAGCCATTCTAATTTGGACTGCTACCAACACTCTGGCCAAAGGGGTGTCAGGTTGTATTTTGACTCTGTCAGTGGTTTTTCTTTTTTATTATTGCATGTATTTTGGTTTTTTCCCCTTTTCCTAATAAATTGTATTTCTGACTTGGAGTCTCTCACTTGTTTTGCTTTCAAACCAGAACAGTGGCACAGGCAGGGTAAGAGCCACTCATTGTCACACTGTCCCTAATTCATCCTGCAGATGAGGGACTGCCTCCCTGATTGCCAGAGAGTGCTGGGAGAGCTGTCACTGCCTGCCAGGGATTGCTGAGGAGCAGACACTGTATTGGATGGCCCTGTCACCATGTGAGGGATGTATGGTGTGAGCAGCCTCTGGCATTAGCAGGCTGCGCAAGTGTTGGCTGCATCAAGGGCCACCAAGGTCCCCATCCCCACAGGTGCAGCGGGGACAGGGCTGGGGCTAATGGCCTCACTCAGCAATGCCTTCTCCAGAAAGCCAGAACACAAGGGTCTGAGGTAGCCCTCAGCAGTGCAGGAGTGGGAAGGAGAAGTCCAAGATACTTTTATATCCTGGGCTTCAGGAAATGAGGAGATGCTTGGTGACAGATCTGGTGAACTCTGCATTGGCACATGGTATTGGTGTGGAAGCTTCCACCACATGCTTTGTGTCTGTTGGATTTGATAGTGTCTTTAGAGGGATCAAGGATATAGGGGGGTTACTGGGGCTGGACAGTTTGGGTTTTTCCCCCCAGAAAATGTTGTTTTGATAATCTTGAAGACATCTAAAATTATCTTGGGAAAAAATACTTCTTTAGAAAAAACGTGGGATTCAGGAGGTTCCAGATTTCTAACATGACCCCTTTGGAAGCCATAAGATTGGAGCAGATCAGAATCTCTTTGTTCAGAGCTGGTCTGTGCTTCAAAAAGTAAAACTGATCCCTCTGCTCCTGCCTGGAGATGCAAAACTCCTTCACTCCCCACATGTGCCTGTGGGGACTGTAGTGTTTGCTGGGCCTAGGCTCTTTGGAGATGTTTCTGTTTCTGGAAGGAGAACAGTGACCTAGTTCCAATGAGAAGAGTTGGGATGTTCTGCGCCAACCTGTCTGTGCAGCACCAGGCTCTGCACCAGTGTTTCCAAACTCTGCTCCAGCCTCTCCAAACTCTGCTCACTCACATTTGTGTGTTGTTTATCTGTTGAATGGAAAAATAAGATAGATGTACTTTTTTTTTTTTAAGTGCCCCCTCATTAAGATAATGCTGAGCAGGAGAGCAGACCTGAGCAGTGTTGTCAGACTTCATTACAGGGATGCAGCCCAAAGAACATGTAGCTCTGGAAGCTCACTGCAAGGCCATCCATCACCCAGACCCAGCTGTCCCCATGTAGACAAAATGCCAGACCCCGGCAGAAAGAGGAGAGAGTGATTCTCTCAGCCCATCAAAGACCAAGCTACTCCTACCATTAATTCTTCCAGAGAATGTGGCTCCTTTCTTTCATAATGGCCTTAAATTTAAACAGGGCAGATTTAGAATATATACAAGGAAGGAACTTCTGTCTGTGAGGGTGGTGAAGCCCTGGCTCAGGTTTCCCCATCCCTGGAATGTCCAAGGTCAGGCTGGATGGGGCTTGGAGCAACCTGGGATAGTAAAAGGTGTCTCTCTCCATGGCAGGGGGTGGGACTGGTTGAGCTTTAAGGTTCTGTCTAACTCCTGTGATTCTTGAGTAGCATTAAAAAGATCTTGGTTTCCTACTTACCTGTCTGCATTCCTGGGGCAGTCACTCGATTTCTGTCTCTCCAACTGCCCCAGTGGACCCTAGATCATTCACCACCAGGCACGAAGCCTGATGACAAGTCCAAAAGGATGATAAAGCTGTTCATGAACACCTGAAACTGTGTTTGCCTCTCTGACAGATCATTTGTTTGGGCAAGACATTGAGGGGATGCTCTGCAGTTTGTGTGTGTTGGTGTGAGGGTCCCCTTGGAGCAGCAAATAAATCCTCACCAACCTGCAGAAATTCAGATTATTTCTTCCTTCCCCACAGGGATAAGACCAGATCCCTGCCCTGAAAATAGCTCATGATGTGGACTTCTCCCCCTGTACTCATCGTGCAAAAGAGCTTTGTGCTCTGCCCTGGGAGCAGCCAGCATCAGAGGGTTAGGTGGGAAAGACCTCTGGCTGTGGCTATGGCCATGCAGAACGAGGACACAACAACCAACACAATGTGCAGTGACTGGGCCCATGATCTGTGAGGTGGGATAAGCAAGATCCTGAGGTGAGAGATGACCCTGGAATCCCTACTGCTTCCCAAAGGGTGTTACTGCAGTTTGTTGTCACTACTGCTGGAGATGCATCCCATGTCCCTTCTGTCACACACAAGGGGTTCTGCTCATACCACTGGGACACTGCTGGGTGCTGAGAGCAAGTGGATGGGTTCATCTTGGAAATGGCATGAAATAAATCCCTTTCCCATTCATGCAGTCTCCCACTGAGGTTTTACATCACTTTTAATCTTACCAAAAGGTAAAACAAGCAGGTTTAAAAGGAGAATGGTCAAGATTACTTCAGATGGGAACGTTGTTGGATGTTGTGCCATCATGCCGGTCCCTGGACTGATTCCTGTCTGTGTCTGGGACATGAGTTTCCCACTCCCCTCCTCCAGCTCACTTCTCCTGTGATCCCATAGGAAACAATGCTGTCCATCTTAGTGGCTTTTCAAAACCCTCAGGAAATACCCTGAGAAGGGCCTCCCACCACACACAAGGGTCTCTGGGCTCAGAAAAGGGATATTTCAGGAGCTGATGTCCAGGCTGGTGGGAACCTGTCGGCTCTTGCAATTCTGTCAGGCTGGAAACCTGACCAGGGCTTGTGACTCAAGGACTGCTCTGTGCATCACAGCCTCTTGTTTTGTTGCAGCAGAAAATGGTAATATTTAAAGCCTTTCTTCCTAGGAGGAGGTGGAGCATACAATGAGAAGTTAATGACGGTGGCTGTGCCCTGCAGACTCTGGGCTCTGCCCTTCCCTGCCATCCTCTCTGCTCCCCATCAGTGCCGCGTCTGGATGGTTGGGTTTGGCCCTGTTTGCCTGAACAGGAGGCAGCGGGGCAGGGGTGGGTGGGGCGAGGCACCTGCTGCTGCTCTTGGAGCAGCTGGAAGGAGTGATCCTCCCGTGTTTGGTGCGGGAACAGAGGCCCTGCACTGCCTCCTCTGCTCCCGCTGCAGCCAGTGTCTCTGAGCCAAGCATTCCAGTAGCAGCAAAAAGGAGCTCAGCAGGTATTGATGGGGTTTGGTGCTGGGGTGAGCAATGGAGGTATCTGGCCTGGGTGGGCAGGAGAATGCTTCCCTTGCCCCAGGCACACTCTCGTTGGTGCTGCAGGCACCTGTGGAGGGATGAAGAGCTGCTGAGGGAGAGCAAAGCAGTTGGAGCCTACAGCATCCCAGCTTCTGGCATTTTAGAGAGAGGGCAATTAACCGCCCTGAGTTGAAGAAGTTTTGTTTCTGTCATGGCTTTCTGGCCGTACTACTTTTTCTGATAGCTAAGTGACAGGATTTCTGGGGAAATGCAAGGGGTTGAGATGAGATCCTGAAAACTGGGATTGGAGGTTTGAATTTCCAGCTCAGGCAGCGCCCTTCAGGAGGTGACCAGGATGTGATCCCACCAGTTGCAGACCAACCGGCCACCTGCTTATCAGAGCTTGAGAATCTTAGGCTGGATATCAGGAAAAGGTTCTTCTCCCAGAGGGTGGTCAGGCACTGAACATGTTCCCCAAGGAATGGTCACAGCCCCAAGGCTGCCAGAGCTCCAGAAACATTTGGACAATGCTCTCAGGGACACGGTGGGATTGTTGACAGGGGTTTGACTTTGATGATGCCTGTAGGTCCCTTCCAGCTCAGGATAGTCCAGGATTCATTGATTCTATGATACTATGAGAAGCAACCATGATGGATGTTCCCAGTGATCCCTGGGTACTGCTTTTCCTTCCAAGCTGGAGGTTGGTGACCTTGGCCAAACTGCAGTTGCTGCTTTAAGCCTCCTCCCATGCAGGGGATTTGGGCTTGCATGTCAGAAACACACAGTCAGAGCCCTGGTACTGGCTTCCCTGCTTGCTGCTCCTGCCTGGGATGTTGGGGTGCTGGGCTATACCACAGCATAGGCTGCATGACCTTCAGAGTCCCCACCCCATCCAACACTTCAGTGTTCCGCCCAGTCAAGGATGGGAAATGCAGTTAAGTGCCATAAACTAGCCAAGGTGGTGGAGAAAAACCTTCTCCCTATGCACCCTGTTGGTGTATTTGCTAGATTGGATCTGTGCCTCCTTGTGCCGCTTTGTCAGAAATCCAGGGAAAATCACAGTGAGGAGCTAAAAGTTTGGAAGACAGGTTCAGCCCTGGACTGTGTGACCTTTCTGACAAAACCCTCAGCAAAAGCCTCTGCTCAGCCTGTGCCAAGTGTGCTGGTGACAGCAGGAGCTCCACCACCTGGGTTGGTGCAATTTCCATTAGCTCAGGAAAATGTTACAGGTTACATGCTCTGGGGCAAGTTGTGCTCTGTCTCCTGCAGTTCAGGTGGGAATTGGCCACACTCTCCACCTCTAACCTGCTCCCAACCCCTCTCAGAGCTTTGAGCCCTGGCTCAAAGACATTATGTGTCAAGACACCAGTGTGTGAGTAGTGCCACTCTAAATCCCATCACATCAGCCTGGGAATGAAAGAAACAGTTCTATCCAACAGCAACTGTCTGCCTAAGGCCTCGGAGTGATAGGGAAACCTCTGCTCAGAGATTCAGGGCAGGCAAAGGAAACTATATGTTCTGGGCTAGCAGAGCTGGGGAAAGAAGAAGCAGTGGCTGGCTACCTCCTGAAGAGCAAGATTTCTCTGCTCAGGAGAGGGGAGAGTGGTGTGGTGCAGGGCCTGGGAGATGAGAAGGGGGCTAGTACTCACCCTATAAATCAGTATTTTTGGGAGATCCTTGTTGGACTGAGCTGGAATAGGTTGACAGACCAATTTTGTCTGTGTTGGAAAAATGTGCTAATGGGAGATTCTGCAGCTGTTCTTGGGACTACTGCCCACCATTCCACTGTATCCAGGTCACTGGTTTCCCATGTCTCAGGGGAGTCCCACCACAATTTGTGGCTCACAAGGGCCATGAATGCCTGCACTCACCACTGATAGGCATCTTTGGGATGCAAAGCACCTGGGGTTCAGGTGAGGAGAAGCCACTGCTGGGACTGATCCTCTTTTTTGGGGCCAAATTTTCAGAGGAAGTCTGCCTGAGGCTCCCGCTGCTGCTGCAGCTTTCCAAGGGTGGTCTGGGGTTCTCCAGAGCCCTTCCTTGGGGCTTAGATACCTCTGTGACATCAGGATGCTGACTCCAGTCAGTCTGGAAGGTGCTGGAATGAAGCACAATGTAGAAGAAGCCTGGAGAGGGGACTGTCCCTGCTTTTATGGGACTGATCCTGGCTCTGCACCCCCCCAGAGAGCTGTGATGAGCTGCATGTCCTGAACACCACATCAGCTCTGGCAAATGCCAGTCCCTAGACTGGGACTGGAGAGGGTCCCTCTCTCCTGGGCATCAATTTGGCTCCTCTCACATGGCAGCTCCTCATTTGCACGGGCAGTGGCCGGGAGCTCGGCTCCAAGGGCAAGGACACGGGGACAGCACTGACCTGTCTTCACCGCCTTCCCTGTGAGAGCCAGCCTGGCTCCCTTAATGGGAGCTTTGAAATTACTTGCTCATTTAAACTAATGCAGTAAGAGCCCCATTTGAGTGTGGGCTTTGTGTGGGAGCAAACTGCCTCTGCTCCCTGGAAAGGCAGCATTATGCTGTCTCTCTCACTCCAATATGCTAATACACCAACTCCCTGCAATTTCATTTTCAACAGGGACTAATTTAAAAGAAATGACCAGCCTGACAGTGGACTTCAAAGATATCTTTTGATGAGTTTTAGCAGCTTCAGCAAAACTCTAATTTGAATTTCAGTGGCTGCCATGTGATTTTCTCTGTGACAGTTAAGAGAGATGATAGTGCCAGCTCCATCTGTCATTGGAGCCTCTTCTCTTCCCTCTTTTCACTGATTTGTTACAGAGTGGGGGAAAGGAGAGAGGGGAAAAGTTGAAAGAGAGGGTTGCTAAATTCTGGTGCTCTAATGCAGAGGCATACAAAGGGGAAGTGTGGAGCTGGTGCTGAGAAGAAGTGATGGGAGCAGCTGGGCAGCATCGCTGACACCACAGAGAGCACCCCAGCACAGGTAACATCCCAGCACAGGCAGCACCCTGCTTGCACAGGCAGTGTGTTCTGCAGCCCCAGGGTTTGACAAGATAGTGCACTGGCTCAGGCATTCTGGGTTAAACTGAAAATGGAACAGAAATATTTTCACAAGGAAATTAGCAAGTGTTTTCTGTCCTAGCTGGGCACTCAGGCTGAAAGCCTAGTCAAAGTGAAGCACCGTGGGTGCTGCAATCCCCTTTGTGTTAAATACATTTTATTCAGGGTTGCAGCATTGGAGAGCAAGATACAGAGCTGGAATCATGGCCAGGACTGGGACAACATATCACCCAGTCCCAGTGCTGATGAGACAGGACAGAGCATCACCAGGCAATGGGGCCAGTACAGGGCCTGTCTCCATCTCCTCCTGTGTCAGTCCTGCACCCCACCACCATGCACTACTCACTACAAATGTGGTTGTGCCTCCCGGGTGGATGCAGCACATTTCCTGCTCCCCCTTGCATGTCTGGAGCTGCCTGTCATGGTTGTCACCTGTGATTTCATGCTGCCTCTTACATCTTTAGCTTCCCTTTTCAAGAGACAGCTTCATCGCTGGCTCCCTGAGCCCTGGGGAGTCCTCTCATGCTGAGCTGGCAGCTCTGGGGGCAGAGGCGCCGCAGCCTTTTGTTCCCGGGGACCCCGATTTCCATCCTCTGTCTGATGCCTGTGGACAGAGCCATGGCTGCGCACGCCCAAGGCCAGGCCCAGCATTTGAGCTTGCCCTTCTCTCACAGCAAAGCCGTGGCCCGGATGACAGGAGCCACTCGGGGCGGCTCTGGCTGGCCAGGGCATCCGGGCAGCATGGGAGCGGCTGTCAATCCTACTGTAAGCCCCCGGCAAGTGGCAGGACCTGTTCAGCTCATGTAAAATCTGGGATTAGAGACATGTTCGAGTGCCCCTGTTCCCAGTTACAGCTGCTCCCAGAGACCTAGGCCAGGAGTCATGCTAGCAAAGCCTTGTTTTTCTCTGGTATCCTGCATTGTTGGCTGGTCCCTGGGAACAGGATGATCACAGCTTGGGCTTCTGAGTGGTGAGCATCCTGCTAGTGCACACTGGTGACACCCTGATGCCAGGCTGGGTCCCTGCCCTGACAGAAAAGTCTGGAGAAGGAAAAGATGTGCCCCATCCCCATGCACCCATCCCATCAATGTATTGTCCATGCACTCTGGAGCTGTGCATTCCCAAACCTCTGGGAGCCCAGCACTACATGGGTCAGTGCTGGGAGGTGTCTGTGTGAGACATGGCATGCTGCCAGGGTGGGCAGCAGGACCCTGAGAGCTGGAGATAGGAACTCTCTGCAGGCCCTGGATGCAAAATGTGCTGGAGATGTGATGAGAATCATAGAATCATGGAATATTCTGAGGTGGAAGGGACCCAGAAAGATCACTGACTCCAAATCCTGGTCCTGCATGAAAACCCCAACAATCCCCCCCTTGCCTGAGAGTGTTGTCCAAACACTCCTGGAACTCTGGCATCTGGGGAGCCTGTTCAGTGCCTCAGCACTCTTGAGTACTGTCCTTGGCTGGAGCCCGCTGTACAAGTGCAATGCCAACTTTGAGGAGTCTTTGCTTCATGTGGGAACATGACACAGCAAGGAATGAGACAGAAGCAGCAAACAAACCCTGCAAAAAGCGGGTGAGCGTGTCCCGAGTGGCAGCTGCAAGGCCAAGGAAAGGTTGTATCTTGCCCCTGCTGAGCCAGGGAGTGTTTGGACCAGGACTGTCAATGCTGATGATAGAGGCAATGGCATTCCCCTGTGTTTCTGAGCATTCTCCTCTTTTGGCCTAGTAGAGCTACTCATACTGATGATGGCTCATGGATACAGCACTCGCCCATTGCCACCCTCAGGCAGTACCTCAGAAGGACACGCAGGTGGGGACCCCCTACAGCACATTCCTGCCGCTCTCACTGTCCCCTGCTGCACAGAGCTGGGGCCAGTTGCTATCTGAGCTCGTGTGACAATGCTGCCAAGGCTCCCGGTGGGGATCCAGCTCTCAGTTAGTCTCTGCTCTGAAAGCCTCTGTGAAATCACTGCGACGTTAGGCACTTCCTAATAAAGCTGTCACAGACACCCCCATTATCTCCTGGCTCAGCCCCCTGCCCTCTGTTTAACCAGATAATCTGCTTTTTAAAAATACCTTTTCCTCTGGCTCAGTGGAAGCTCAGGTCTGTCCCAGTTCCTTGTCACCGAGGCGCACTGAGGAATTATCAGCACGCAGAGCTTTTCTTTTTCCTTTGTCATTGTGTGATACTGAAAAGTCTATTTTGTGGCTAATTATGCTGGCATCTGCATGCCTCCCTTGGCGTTCATCTGAGCCTGTCCCTGCTGCAGTGGAACAGCCTGTGTTGGGAGGCTTCTCTTCCATTAGACATGCAGAGATCAGACCTGAAATTTGTCCCAGACCTATGCACAATGCTGATGCTCCAGTCCTTATGCATCCTTTTGTCCTCAACCCTTGGAAATTCCCATTTCTCTCCCACAGCCTGGGCGATGAGTGGGTTTTCTCTCAAGCAGCAAGGTCTGCCACCAGATGGATGTGTCAGGATTTGAGAACATTCTTGGGATCATGATGCAAATGTCACTGCGGCATTATGATCATTTTGTCCTTTCTGCCAGCCTGGCCATGTCCCCTGCTGTCCCTACCAGGAGCCAGTGCCTAGGTGGGGTTGGGACTCTGGGCAGAGCCAGTGTGGCCACACTCCAGTTGCCCAGGGTCTCAAGCTGGGATCCAAGTGGTGCAGTGCTACTGTGGATGTCCCTGCAGATGTCACTGTCCCTAAGGCTTACCCCAAGGGCCATGGTGTAAATCTGTTCCCCTTCCCCACAGTGCCCAGCCCAGGTAACTTGTCCACGGTGACTGTCGCCTCAGACATCAGGGACAGCTCGAGACAAACAGCACAAAGGGTGTTCCCACCTTGTGGAGGAGCACTAGGCTCTCTGATCAACTGTGAAGTGTCAGGACACTCCCCACTGTAAGGTCTGTGCTTCAGAAAGGCTCCCTAATCCCAACAAGCACTCGGGCAGGGAGGCATCTCCCTGGGCTGTCCTCAAAGCTGGCAGATCCTCTCTGTGGTGGATGGTTGGTGGTGGCCTTTCCTTACCTGGCCTGGTTCTACAGGAAATGGACAGAGTAGAAAGGGTTCACCTGTGCTTTCAGTCTTGAATTTTGCTGAAAGTAGGGGAGTGGAAGGAGAAGCCACCCTGAGCCACACCATTTTAGGCTCTGCTGGTGGTGCTGGTCAGGCTTGGTGTGACACCTGGTCATCATCTGGAACCCACACATAAAAACCACTTGGCCATGAATGGGCAGGCTGCAAAACCCAGCTGCCATTGCTAATGCCTTGGTTAGTCACAGTGGAACTGGTGTAAAGCATTGCACGATGCTCTGGGGGTCAGGCAAATGACATATCAGCCTGGAGAAGAAGCTGATTTATATTCCAGGACTGAGGTACCCTCTCCTGGGAGGATGAGGTCTCTAATCCAGCTCACCTTGCTGATACAGAGCACCTGTAACATCCACAGCCCTCCAAGAGCTGGAGGCAGCTCCAGCTATAATTACCCAAGTTCACGCCAATGTGTCTGGGGTTAAAATGCTGCATTGGAGATCTACTGGAGCAACTGAGGATTTGTGTCAGATAAGAAGTGTGACATTGTTTTGCAGAATAAAAAAGAGCCTTATCAGGAATGTACCAGCCCAAGTGTTTGTTCAGCTCTCTGAGCAGCTGACTCTGGGAGTGGCCAGGCTGGCAGTGGCTGGGGGGGCTGGATGCTGGATCCCAGGCAGCAGAGGTCCTACCTGCACTGGGTCCCAGCACTGCTCTGTTGGATGTAACAGAGAGGCCAAGCCAGGCAGTGTGAGCCTGGTCTGTTGTTTGCACGGTGCTGGCGGTTCTCTGATGGCTGGGTCAGGACCACACCACACATGACCCACAGCTGGAAATGCCTCCAAGCCACTGCATCCCTCTGAAGAAATGGCCATGGTGCCATGCTCCTGATATCCAGGAGCAAACTGGTGAGGAATCATGGAGAGGTACATAGTGCATCTTCCTACAGCAGCATGAGAGGGTGGAAAGAAGGAATTAAAGATGGCAGTGCAACAGCTGAGAGGAAGATCATCTGAAGCTGGGAACAAGATTCTCAGATGTGTTTCCGATGCCCCTGTATTGAGACAGGGCCTGGGAACAGAGAGCAATGAGCTCTCACCAGGGGATGGTATCACCGCTAAAAGAGAGGAAATGAGTTTTTTCACATGCATTAAGACAAGACATGCCAGCATGAGGGCAGATGTTCCATGCACCTAGGACTGCACAGAGAACTCGTACATCCTTGTGTCTCATCACAGTGGATACAGCAGAAAGTGAAATAATGAAAATGATAATGGGCGGAGAGTGATTTCCACATGAGAAGAGAGGAGAAAGGAGCAATTTAGTTTGAGAAGGGATGAATGAAAGGGTGAGATGGATAGAATAATGAATGGGACAGGGGAGATGCATCCACCAGCCACTCTCAACAAAGCAAGAAGTGCCTGGGGAGCTGACAGGGCCCTTCTTGGAAATGGATGCAGGAAGGAGCTTCCTTTGGGTTCAAGTGATCTGTGGGATCCAAGGCAGCAGGAAGCAGAGGACAGAGTACCAGCCCATTTCTGCCTGCAATGTCTCCACATCTCTCCACTTTCCCACCAGCACTGAGCAAGGCAGGATCTCTGCTCTGCTCTGTCTCCTTCTCCAAGTGGCAGAGATGCCCAGCAGCTCCTAGTGTGGTGTTTCCCTCTGGTGTCACACCAAGCAGATTGTGGCTGTGGCCACTCATAGGCACAAAAATTGTGGTGGTGACCACAGGGCCCTGGCACATTGCAAATGAGTCAGCCAGGTATAAAATGCAGCAGCTCCCAGCCAGTGCTGAGCACCAAATGCCTTCTGAAATGACTGTGTACTGTGGACACAGTGGGCACATCCACAGGGATTGGAGTGCCCACGTCCCAGCTGCACACCCTGCACATTCCCTTGCACCCCAAGGCAGTGAATACAAGTTGGGGCAAGCTCAAAGACAGTTCCCTGCTGAGTCCTGGCCACTCAGTGCATGTGTGACTGGGCAAGGAGCTCTGGAAATTGGGAAATACTGCCTGAGATGTAGTTGGGTACTCCAGAGTAAAGGTGGTGGGAGAGGGGGAGATGGCTGTGGGGGAGTTGCATTGCATGGAGACTCAGAGGTGCGTGTGATGTGGAAATTGGTATTCAGAGGATCCTTGTAGGATTTAGGAACAGTCAGAAGGGAGTTACCCATCCAGAACGAATGGGGAAGGAAAGCAGCATTATTACCATATTTTCTATGTTTCTTTGTCCCTTTTCTCCAGGGTCAGACAGCAATGTGCCTTCTGGAGCTTCCCATAGATGAGAAGCTGCTCTGTCCTTTTCCTGTGGAGATGGGAGCTGCTAGCTCCCTGTGCCCTCTCCCTGGGGCACTGCTCTGCCAGGCACACTGGGCATACTGGAAGCTGATGGAGGAGCCAGTCCACAGCCCTGTATTCCTGACTTTGCCCGGTGACAGTGACAGCAGGAGGGTGATGCTGTGGACAGTACATGGTGCACATTGCTCCCACAGAGCTGTATTACAGTAATTTTGGGTGTTTTTCCTGGGTCTGCTGAAGTGGCAGTCCAAAAGGCTCTGCTGCCACCGGGAGGTTCTCTCCACAGTGTTTCCATCCCAATTGGTGTCCCCTGCTGGGGAACATCTGTGTTCTAGCCTCACCATTCCTGTTTGGGCCAGATGGAGCAGGTGGGGAAGGAAAAGACCCCAGGGCTCCTCATTGCATCTGCATGGCATCCCCGAAGGTTTTCCAAGCCACGCTCTACTAAGCAGCACTGCCTTGTCTCACCTCTGTGCAAAGGATCTGCCCTGCCCCACGGTCTGGCTGTGGTGGGGATGACAGGGACATGACAGGCAGCTGCAGGTGGTGGCAGGGGCAGGCTCCCACCAGCAGCCCTCCAGCAGATGGGAACAATGCTGGCACAGAGTTTGGAGTGAGCTGCGAAGAAGACTGACTGCTGCCTTCAGAGCTGTGTCCTCCCAGGATGTGGTGGGTGGGTCAGAGTTCAGATTTGCTGCCAAGTCTGGAAATAGTGCCTTTAAGTCAATACCTGGGACCAGTCCAGAATGGTACTGGCTTCTTTTTCCCTTCTTTCTTTTTTCTCTTTCTCTCCTTCAGCATTTCCCACAAAGCAAAAAGACAGAAAAAGTCTCTGGAAGAGTTAAAAAACATGTAGATGTGGCACTTAAGAACATGGGTTAGTGGTGGATCTGGCAGTGCTGGGTTAACAGCTGGACTTGATGATCTTAGAGAGCTTTCCCAACCTCAGTGATTCTATTATTCTGTGACCATAAGTTGGTTTTGGGGTGAACTGAGTGATTTTTGCTGCTCAGCATGCAGCAGATCTTGGGCTCATGGGCCTGAGGAAAAAGGATACATAGGCAGGGATCTGGTTGAGTTTTAAAAGCCATGGACTTTTTAGATCCTTGCAGAGGAAGGACACAGCCAGGAAGTTGCACACAGCTCGCAAGGGGATTCATCACATCACCAGGGATCCATTGCATAATCAGGGATACACTGCACTTCCAGCCTCAGCCTGCAGCAGGTCACCCCCTTACCTGAGGGAATCTATTCTGGTGCTGCTCACTGGTGACCCCCACATGCTTCTCTGGATCCACCGTGTCCAGCCAGAGTGCAGTTCTAGTGCCAGCCCCTTGTCTGTAGGGTCAGTTGAGAGGGCAGGGTTCCAGTGTCCAGTGCATCCCTGTACTTTCCATCCGGGAGAGCCTGCACTTCCCAACACTGACAGGGTAATTGCAATATTGTCATGACATGTAGCAGATCAAAGACTTGGTGCAGGGGAGGTGGCAATGGTGGTAAGAATGACATTCAGTTTGCATTTAGAAAGCACTTAAAAGGCAATTATCCAGCGCTGGGAGCCCTGGCCAGAGAGTGTGTCTCATGTATTTTAATGTGGATTTCAAAGAGATGAAGATTGGTGCCCAGCAGGAGGCCTGGCAGTGCAGGCAGCTGTGTGCAGCTTGCTGCAGGCCAGGCTCCACTGCAGTGGCCT